CATGTTATCACATGGCCGGTAAGAGTCAGTAAGCAGAAGGGCCAAATTCAGATTTGGAAATCTGACCCAAAATTGGACAAACCTGGACCAAGATTATCTGTCTCTCTGCCTGGCCATCAATTAGTTCATCATCCATCCATCCATCCATCCATCCATCCATCCATCCATCCATCCTTGTGTCCATTAATCCACACATCTGCTTTTGTTATCTATTTAATACACTCATCTATTTCTGTGTATTCACTTATTGTTATGACTTGGTCTCTATAAAAATCTGCCTATTCAATTTGGCAAACATTTACCCAGAGTCTGCCATGTGCCATGCACTCTCTCTACTTGTACCTCCTGGCTCCACGCTCCATCTACCTCATCTTTCCTGACTACTCCAGCCCCCACTGAGTGCTTTCTCCTCTGGCCTTTTTGCAGGACCCTTTGTCTATGTGGCCACAGTCTCTGCTCTTTCCTGGCCCACAGTCTAGTTTGATTGATTGTGAGTGGATCCTTTGCCCTTCCTTGACTGCCATGATCTGGCTCCATTCCTGTCCTATGTCAGACTCCAGGGAAATATTCATTGGCTGGATGACTGCATCCCCAACTAGACTGTTTGCAACTCAAGGGCAAGGACAGTATCTTTTCAAGAGTTTCATTCCTTCCTCAGTTCCCAGTTTAGGGTTACACACATGGCAAGCATTTTGCTCACGACAGAGGGCTTAAATTCACAGTCCTTAGCAGGTGTAAGGAACTTTACAACTTTTATTCTTTCAACATATCTTGCATACATATGTTTGCTAGATGCTCTTGGTAGGCATAGAAATTAGTGAAAACAACATTTTACAGAGGAGGGAGGGAAGCCCAGAAAAGGACAGCCTGATCACAGTGAGGAGAACACCACCTCTCTGCACCCAGATAGTTGGTTCCTGAGCCAGACAGTCTGTGCCTGAAGATCTCCAGAGAGGAGGTATTGGGAAACCACAGCTTGACTTGCCAAGTCAAAGCAGTCAGGCCCCATCAAGAAGCCACTTCTGCAGAGAGAGCCTGAGTCAGCTCTCACCTGCACAGATCACATCAGGATGACCAGGGGCTGGCAAGGGGTGGAGGGAGTGGCCCTGAGTATGCTAAGGGAAGGAAAGTGGCGGTGCCCCAGCTGGATCTTGGGGAACCACATTATTGACAGGGGATATCTGAGCCATGGAGTTCATGTTGAAGGGCCAAGGATATTCCAATCAGGCCAGGCTTTCCCTCACTCTTGGGAAATAGCTTGCTGACATTGCTCTCCCCTATGTTAAAAGCAGAGATTCCAAAGATGTCAGTTTATCAAGCACAGCAGTTCTTAAACTTGAATGAGCCCCAGCATGACCTGGGGAACTCAAAGCATGGGTAGATCTCTGTGTACTCCATGATATAGACCTTAAGACACACTGTCAAGTAAAAAAGTTGCAGAATGACGCATAAGATGTTATTCAGCAACCCCCTTCCCACAACCAACCCATTTCTGTATATTTCCCACTGGCATATTTATATATGAATGTAAATATCTGGAAAGATTACATACCGAAATGATTACATTGGCTGTCTTTAGAAAGGATATTGGTAGTGATGGCAGACAGGGCTTTAGTCTTAAAAGTAATGTTTTATTATTTTGTTAGGAAAGGGTATCATGTATTATTTCTGTAAAAAACCTGTAAAAGCCAATTTCTTTTTTTTTTTTTGAGATGGAGCCTCACTCTGTCATCAGGCTGGAATGCAGTTGCACAATCTTGGTTCACTGCAACCACCTCATGGGTTCAAGCGATTCTCCTGCCTCAGCCTACTGAGTACTTGGAACTACAGGTACGCAACACCACACTCAGCTAATTTTTGTATTTTTAGTAGAGACGGGGTTTCACCATGTTGGCCAGGATGCTCTCGATCTCTTAACCTCATGATCCGCCCACCTCGGCCTCCCAAAGTGCTGGGATTACAGGTGTAAGCCACCATGCCTGGTGTAAATAAATTTTTGTTAAGTTTAGATTTCTTCAAAAATTTTCACCCATTTTGTCTGGTTGGAGGCACAAGAATCCTCATGATAGCCAAATTTTCAGGTGCTTCTTTGGAGATGACCACTTTGAGAAAAGCTGGTCTAGTCCAACCTCTTATCATAAAAAAGAGCAATTTGAGGGTCAAAGAGGGTAAGGAACTTGCCTGAGACCACACAGCATAGTAGTGACTAAGATGGGGTTTGATCCCAGGATGTTTTACTGCAAGGCGGTGTGTTCTCTTGTATACAGTGACAAGAAAGGAAGCTCACTAGGAGACGTGGGTGGTAGATGTCCACAACCAGAGTGTGAGGGGTCTGGGGCTCTGTGCACCGCTGAGTTAGTATGGTTAGCAGTTTCGGGCTGGGGGAACAGGGATAATGTTGGGGCAAGAAGGGGGAAGAAGAGAAAGGCAAACATTGCTCATCTTCTCAATTTTTCTTTGAGCGGCTTTGTTCTCAGACCTCCTCCTACGGCTCCTTCCTGCTTCCAGCAGGGGCAGTGGCTCAGGGAGAACGCGAAGCTTCTACCCTGACAGCCTTGTTGCTGGGTGACCTGGGGCAATTTCCTTCCCTCTCTTAACCTCAGCTTCCTCATCCATACAGTGGACTAAATCAGAGTCTCACAAACCTGGTTCGGCATCCTCTTGGAGGCTCAATTAAAAGTATACAACACATTTCAAAATAACATGTTGCACACGATAAACATATGCTTTTTTGTCAATTAAAAAAGTAATAAAACTCAGAATCCTGGGACCCTTCATAATAGGGGTGGGGCCTGGAATGTACCTTTTTAAACAACTCCATGTCTCCCACCCCCGCTGATGATGCCTACAAACTGTGAAGTTAGAGAACTACTGGGCTACTGAGTCTCTTTTCCCTGAACCATCCTTCCTGTGCTGTGGGCCTTAGGTGGAACTGAGGCCTGCTTGTGAGGAGAGCTTGGAGTGGCCCAGTGATCCCCACTCCCCAGAAGACCCCTGCCTCTCTTCTGGCTGTCTCTGTCTAGGTTGGGGTTGCCCAGGGTCTCTCCCCTTAGGGCCAACCTCTTCCTACTCTGGGCAGAATGTCTGGAATGTGGCTTCCCAGGGAGACAGGGCCAATACAGCTGGCAAAGTTGCCTTAGGAATTCAGGCAGCTGAGAGCAGACTCCTGCCCCTGAGGGCCCCTGCTCTATTGGCCTCCGGGTGACCTGCGAAAGCCAAGCCCCAGGTGGGCAAAGGAGGGCTGTAGGGCTCTGAACAGGCTGAGAAGTCTTGTTAAGCCTCAGTTTCTTCACATAAAATCATGTCCTACTCCTCTACATGGGTGGTATTTTGGCGCCTCCAAAGCAATTTTGCATCTATAAATCCTCTGCCCCATCACATTTCATCAGCACTGTGCAAAGAGCTATGGGAAATCTGCAGATAAGTTAGACACCAAACAGATCCAGGAAGCTTCCACTTTTTGGCCCTAGGCACAGTGCTTAATGTATTACCACCCATTCATCACCTTATTTAATCCTCAGGATAACCCCTGCAAGATAAGAACTGTTATCATCTCTATTTGGCAGATGAGGAAACTCCTCAGAGAGGTTAAATTACTCATTCAAGGCCACACAGCTGCAGAGCTGGGTTTGAATCCAGATCGGCCCAACTTCAAGTTCAAACTTTACCCTGTGCTCCACTCCCCTGACAAGTGCTGCAAAGGAATGAGTAAAACACAGGAATATCTTGTCCTGATTTCACTGTGAGGCACGAACAGAGCAATCTGTGCTCCATGATGGCAGGGAACCCTCTAGTAGTTCATAGAGATGGTCCAGAGCAGACGATCTTATGATGAACCTGGTAGGTGTGAGTGGAATGATAGTCTATGCAGAGGGATAGCATAGGCATTAGAGGGTGGTAGGCTGTAGCTGGGGACCCATAGGCTAGCTGATTTGTAGAACTAGCTACATAATTTGCAGGGCCCAATGCAGAATCAAAATGTGGGGACCTTATTCAAAAGTGATTGAGATTTACAAGACAGAGACAGCAGAGTAGTGAATCAAGGGTGGGTCAATCTACAAGTGCAAGTGGCATGTCCACGCCAACTCCTGTGATTTGGTTGGACTATAGCCTAACAGTGGTAGCTAAGAGCATGTATCTTAAAGCTGGATAGACTTAGTTTAAATCCTAGCTCTACCATTTAAAGAGATGACAACCTTAGACAAGTCACTTAAATCTCTCGGACTCTGAGTTCTGTCCTCTGCAAAATGAGAATGATAATAATAGTATTATTTTCAATGGCAAAAACCGCAATTACTTTTGCACCAGCCTAAAACTTCACAGGGAAAGTCAATTTCAGGATTAAATGAGATGATGCTTAGCCTAGTACATAGTAAGTTAGGAAATACAGTCATTATTACTGCAAACATTATTGTTGTTATTACTATGCAATGGGGAAAAATGGCAGATGATGCTAGAAATGTAGTTTATGGCTAGAAAGAAGGAGACAAGACAGAGGTACTGGTTCCCTGGGCCACAGCTACATCAGAGTTGCAAGTGTGGGGGCAGGTAAGGGTAAGGATAACATCAGAGGTTCTGTTTCAAGTTTTCAGAGTGGCTTGCCACCTCCCAGGGTTCCCACTGGGGAGACCTAATCAAGGCCATTGAACCAGCCAGCTGAGCTCCAGTGCACTCACCCTGGAGCCCCACCCACCAGCAGCAGCCTGGGCCAGGCCGATTGAGGACTGGGCTGGTAGCAGATGAGCTCATGCCCACAGGCCTGGCCAACGAGGCCGCATGCTTCTGCTGGCAAGAGCCTGTCAGAACTGCCAGCTTGGGGTCAGGATGAGCTGGAGAGCCCGGTGGTGCCCAGATGCCTATGGCCAGCAGGTCTGCTGAGTGTTTGATTACATTCCCGGCCACCCCAGGCAATGCCAGGGCTGGCCGTTCCCACTCCCGCTGAATTCCGTCTGTCAGCCACAGAGCTGCCATCCCAAGCCCGGCCCCCACGGCCCACCTACCTTCCACCTTCTGCTTCTCCTTTTCGGCAGCAGCCCTGGCTGCAGAGCCAGGTGGCCTCATCCCGCAATGACTTCATCCTCCTTAAAGGCATCATGTCCCTTTGACAGTCGTGCCTCTAGAGGCTTTCCTGTCCACAGACCAGGCTTCAGGGTCTCTGCTTTGTTCTTGCCTCCCAGCTTCACTCTCATCCTTCTATGTGCCCTTTCCCAAGGAGAATGCAGTGTAAAGGAAGGAGCCTCAACCTGGAAAAGCAGTTTGCGTTTCATAGTCACTGAACGTGTTGCAATGTAACCAGTCCATCAGCCAAGTGTCCCCAGTGGGCTGAATCCTCTCTTGAGGCTGGTCTTCTAAGGTGGACGACGCTCACTTGGCACCTACCCTGTGTATGCGGCGCACGCAGTGCAGTCATGCAGCAGTTCTCTCAACTAGGTTGACCAGCCATTCTGGTTTTTTTTGGGACTGTCACAGTTATTGAAAGTCCTGCATCCTGGGAAACCCCTCAGTCCCAGGCCAACTGGGACGGTTGGTCAGCCAACCCTGTACATGCATCTGTGACATGCTGCCTCTGATGATGTGTTGGATTTTCACTGAACAAATCTGAGCCTTTAGCCCGCCCCAGAAGGAGTCAAGGGGATTCAGTCTTGAAAATTAAAATAATACTGTCTGTGCTTCCAGACTTTATGGGCACCCTGAAATCTGCTGCCTGGTGAGAGTGTCCTCTGCTCCATCCCCTCATTTACATCACTGTTCATTAGGTTAGTGTGACTGTATTGCTCTAGAAAGAAGAGCCAAGGAGGGAGGGAGAAAGAGCTTACCTGTTTCATAAGGAAGAAGACAACGTTCCCCAGGCAAATAGGGGAAATGGACGTGACTCTTTTCTAGTTATTTCTTTAGAAAACTACAACACCCCAGTAAAAACTTTAGAACTCTAGAATGTTAGAGCTGGATGTTAAAGATCAGCATTCAACACCTCCTTCACTGAGAGAGGGATGCTGGGGTCCAGGGCGGGGATTCAGAATCAGTTACACACACTGATGCCTGGGCCCCACCCACAGGGAGTCTGAGGTAATTGATTTGGATCCAGGGCCTGGGCTTCCCAGGTGATGCCAATATGCAGCCTTGGTTGAGAACCACTGAGTTAGACACTGACCCATCCCTGAGGAACTTCAAATAGAGTAGGGTGGGAGTTAAAGTGAAGAGAGGCACACACAAAGGCCAGAGTCATGCAGAGGGTCTTGCCAGAGGGTTGTGAGGAGAGGGGAGGCCTAAGCAGTGCACAAAATGCTGGGTTAAGGGCTTCAGACAGACTGGGGCTTGATCTTAGCTTAGTCTAGACCAGTGACCTTGGCCAAGTAATTAAAGCTTTTCTGAGCTTCAGTTTCTTCATCTGAAACACAGAAAATGATAAGAGCACCTAATCCATTGTGGTGGTGTTCAGAGAAATGAGATAATTCATGCAGAGTGCTGAGATGAGTGCTGGCATAAAGATGAACTGTTATTATTATTATTATTGTTACTTCTTGCTCAGGTCAGGGGCTTGGTCAGGTTGTGCTCACAGAGGGGAGTGGAAGATGAGCTATACTAAGACATAGAGGTACAATTTCAGCAGGAAGAAAGAGAATTTTGGATATCAGGGAATGAGAAGTTTCTGAGCATGCTTGGAGGGCACTAGGAGTCAATTTCGCTGGTGCACAGGAGGCTGGAGGCCTGAAGACCCATCAGAAAGGTCCTGGGGCCAGGAGAGAGAAGGACCAGGAGTGGGTCAGGAGAGTGGTAAAGGAACTGGGGAGAAGGGGGTGGACGTCTGCAATTTATCCCGATACCCATTTCCCCCTCCTGCAACAGGCTACAGATAGTCCCTGTACTGGACAGGCTGGAGCCCAGACTTGGCCCCAGTGAGGGCCCCTGAGGGAAGACAGTCGCCTGCCACTCTGCACATGACTAATCAAAGAGCCTGTGGGGCTGCCCTGCCACTCTCCCTCTGGTTAATGCCTAATCGGACCAAACTTGGAGACTTGGGTGGCAATCAGCCAAGTGGATAATTGCTCCGGTTAGCCTTGATCACAGGCTACCTGGGAGTCGATCACAGTAGCTCCCCTGATGCTGCAACTCTCTGGGTCTCTCATCCGGGGCAGAGGCAGCCTGTAGGAGGGAAGCCGCACAGAATCCTACTGGTGGGGATTCCCTCTGGACATCTTGAGCAACACACCATAGCAGCCTGCTTGATGCCTGTGGTCATTCTGGATGCTGGTGTCAGTCCTGAAGGCACAACTCACAGTGGCTGCAGCAGCTGCATGAATGAACTCGCACTGAGAGCCAGGAAATAGCAAAAAGCCCCATTGCTCCTGTATAAGCAATAAGACCAGAATCTTCATGGTTTCGCTAATCCATAAGGTCCAGCTTAAACGTCTAGACACCCAAGTCCTAGCTGTAGTACCAGGCCTCAGTTTTGTCACATGGGAGGAGAAACATCTGCTCTGAGTGGTCCCAGTGCGGCTGTGACCCCATTTAACAAATGTGGAGACAGAGACCTAGCAAATTTAAGTCATTTGCCTTGGGACACACAGCTTATAAAAATAACATTAACAATGAATAATTCTTATTTATTAACCGGGTGGAAGGGTGGCTGCTCAGCTGAACATCAACTAGAATTGCTAAGAGTTCAAACTGATTGCTGGGAGGGTGATAAGCTCCTTGTAATTAGAGGCATGCAAGCAAAGGCTCACATACTTGCCAGGAATGTCGGAGAGGGGCTTCAAGATCTGGAGGAAGGCTGGGGATTGGACTGAATGGCTGCAGAGTTGTTTTCAGCTTTGTGGGGCAGGAACTATTTCATTTACCTCTGTGTTTCCAGGGCCCGGAACGGTGTCTGGGAAAAGGTAGACATGGGGCCTCACCTGTGTATGAACACACAAAACAAGCAGACAAATGTGTCCTATAACTAAAAAAGAGGCAGCAGGGGACAGGAGAGCTAATTCCTGTGTAACTCTTCTCCCCTTCTTTTAAAACACTGTTTCTCAACACAATGGAATCATCTGGGGAGCCAAAACAGAGAGGCACCTCATACAATGTGTTAAAGCCAAGGCCTCCTGCACCCCAGTGAGCGGTCCCGCACCATGCTCTGTACTGCACACGCAGTCGGTCTCATTAATCTGTACAACCTTATGAAGCAGGTATTCCTGTTACTCCCATTTTATAGATGGGGGAGCCCAAACTTACAGAGGTTAAGTCAGGTATGGGGAAGTCACAGCTGAAAACAATAAGAATAAGAATTACCTTTTATGGGGGACTTTCTTAGCTAAGTCCTTACTGGTTTCTTAGCAACCTTTATCTCATTTAATTCTCATAACAACCTTATGATGTAGGAGCTATTATTATCCCCATCTTTTCAAAAAAGGAAACTGAGGCTCAGACTAGGTAACTCACTCAAGCTTACTGAGAGAGTAGCTGGCACTGCCAGGGTTTTGAACCAGATCTGGTCAGCTCCAAAGCCTTGGGGAAGAAGGGCTGTAGTTGTTAGTCTCAGATCTCGAGCGTGGAAGGGTGGAGAGAACACTGTTCTGAGAGCCAAGTGACCTTTTCCAGTTGCCTCGTGGTCTCTGTGTGACCTGGGGAAGTACTACCTGTCCAGGGCCTCAGTTTATCCCTCAGTGAACTGAGAAGGGAGGTGGAGATGGGCCTGATTTCTCAGCTCCTTTGCAGCCGTCATTTTCCATGACTCGATTCCCCACCGTGAGTTCTGGGCCACAAACCAGTTGGCTTCCTCCCTCCCTCTCCGTGAGTCGGAAAGCTGGCAGGAGGGGATGATCCGCCTCAATTCTCCCACCTCCTTTTTCCTCCTCCTCCTCCTGGGCTGGGACACACCTACTCCAACTTTCTCAGCAGCCTCTCCAGCTACAGGCTGCGTGCCTTCCTGCTCTGAGTCTCTGCACCTCCCTCCAGAGCCTGTCAGCCTGGCCCTCGTGAGCGGGGCGCCAGCCCAGCAGCCCGCTCTGGGGCACCCACCCCTACCTGAAGGGCACAGGTAAGAACTGCTGGAGGATGGGAAGATGCGGGAGGGGGCGGCAAAGTTAATCCATTCTTGAATCTGGTTCCAAAGCAGGCTGGAGTTGGGGGCTTCTGGAAGGTAGAGAAGGAACCAGGAGATGGCTGGAGCAGGCACAGAGAGGGAGGACAGGGACATCTGGGCCTGGATCATCCAGATACACTGAAAGAAGCCAGTGAGGAAGCCAGCCCATGGCTGGGGATCGGGGCCCAGGAATGGACAAGGCTGGGACTGTGATCTTGTGGAGGAGGAAGGTCATATTTGCACGTGTGGGAAGTTGGGTTCTTGTCCTGGAAGAATCAAATCCCCCACTTGGGCTTTCTGGAGATAAGCCTTTAAGAGGACATGGGGGAGATTTCCTCTGCAGTTTTACCGGGAAGTGCTGGCACCAGGAACTGAGAGGCACTGGTTTCTTGTGTGTGTCCAGGTGGGCACAGGAACCTTATCACAAACAAAGCTACCTGGTGGCTAAGGGAGAGTCAGATAGTCTGGCCAGCCCTGGCTCTCTGCAGCTGCTGAGATTAGAACCTCAGCTTCCCTGACCATAGAATGGGGGGACATGCATAGTCTCTAAGAACTGTGAAAGGCTGTGAGTCTGAGTGGCCCCAAGGCAGCACTGGAGTTGTTGGGGTGGGAACAGCCCTATTCCCCTGTCTTGGGGAAAGCAGAAATCTGAGGCATATCTCCGGAGGCAGGAGAGCCAAAGTGGAACTCTGAGCAGAGCCACTGGGCTAGAGTTCAGTTCTCAGAGCGGGTGCAGTGCCATTTGTCGCAGCATGGGGAGCAGCGAGGCAGTGCAGAGGTTTGCCAAGGGCGCAGAAAGGCTGCCTCTGTGCCCAGCCTCAATGTGGAGCTGGTGCCTGGACTCAGGGGAGAGGAGAAGGTAGAGGAACAGGCTAGGAGGTAGGTGTTTCCAGCCCTTCAGCCCTGTTTTCCAGGTGGGGAGCAGAGACAGGCAGGTGAACACGCCTTGCTTGCGGGAGAGCTATTACAGCTTACGCTCATTGACTGCTTCCTGTGTTATGGGGACTATGCTGAGCCTGTCTTTTGGAATTTTTGAGGTTTCAAATCCAGGCAGTGGGGCAGAGTGAGAAGAGAATTTCACTAATCGTATCTCTGTGACTCACAGGCTGTGTGGCCTAGGACAGTTTCCTACCTCTCTGGGCCTGTGTCTTAACATATAAAAAAAGGCAGTTGGATGTTTGTTAAGATCCCCTCCTCCCTTAATTTATCTATTACATATTTATTTATTTTGAGACAGGGTCTCTCTCTGTCACCCAGGCTGGAGTGCAGTGGCATTATCATGGCTTACTGTAGCTTCCACCTCCTGGGCCCAAATGATCCTCCCACCTCATCCTCCTGAGTAGCTAGGACCACAGACACACACCACCACATCTGGCTAATTTTTTTAAAAAATTGTTTTTTGTAGAGATGGGGGTCTCACTATGTTGCCCAGGTTGGTCTTGAACTCTCAGGCTCAAGCAATCCTTCCACCTCGGCCCCTAAAGTGCT